GCCACCACTGAAAAGAGGCCAGCACCATCCTCTTCACTGCCTCCCTTGAGGTACTTATAGACACTGATCAGGTCCCCTCTCAGCCGTCTCTTCTCCAGGCTGAACAGGCCCAGCTCCCTCAGCCTCTCCTCATAGGGCAGATGTTCCAGGCCCCTGATCATCCTTGTAGCCCTGCGCTGGACTCTCTCCAGCAGCTCCACATCCCTCTTGTACTGTGGAGCCCAGAACTGGACACAGTACTCCAGATGCGGCCTCACCAGGGCTGAGTAGAGGGGCAGTATCCCCTCCCTCGACCTGCTGGAGGCGCTCTTCTTAATGCACCCCAGGATCCCATTGGCCTTCTTGGCCACAAGAGCACACTGCTGCCTCATGGTCAACTTGTCATCCACCATGACACCCAGGTCTTTCTATATACTATCTATACTCTTTCTATTGTGCTCTTTATATTAAAAGTGTCTGTCTCCCTATCGCAAACTTGTCAAGAAGTGCTTTCTCCTGCATCTCCCAACAACAACTACAGGCTGATCTACTGTCCTGTGGAAAGCAAATGACATGGCAGTGCTTTTCTGCATGCCTCATATATGCCTCTGCCATACGCAGAGCACTCTCAGTACTCTGAGTACTCTCAGTACGCATCAAATAAACACAATGTCAGAAAATCAAAGCATTTAAGTTGTATATCTAATCCGTTTCCCTCTCCTTCCCCCCTTTCCAGGTCATTTTGCTTAAGTCACTTGCTTTCTCCTTCTGCAAGCACAGGAATTAAAATACTGTTCTTCCTTATGAGGGCAAACACACACGTATTCTCATCAAACATAGAAACCCTCAAATGTTTCTGACCTCAAAGGTCAAAGGCAGCACATCCCTCGGGACACACGATGCCTCACAGGACTTTTAACTGTGCTGGTGATGCTGCCCTGGCCCCCAGTTCCCTGGGGCAGGTCTCAGCCCTCGCTGTGCGCTTCTGAGGGCCTCCGCACGGCCCAACGGCCCCGTGGTGACACTCACCCGTGCTGCTCGCGTTGCTGGATTTCTGCACGGGCGGCGGTGTGACGTGGTTGACAACGGCTGAGGAAGAGGGGGAAGGGACAGGAGGGGATGCAATTTTGCCTCCCGGTGGTGGCGGGAGCAGGCTGAGGCCCCCTGAGCCTGGTGCACGGGGCTTGGCTGCGCCTCCTTTCTTGGTAGCCATGTTCTGCATAGAGAAGAGGGGACAAGTGAGGAAGCATCTTCACATGGCAAATCCAGAGGGAGAGGCCGGGGCCACCAGACTCCTTACCCCAATGTTCAGTTTGATGGTCTGTCCTTCCTTGAATCCTAAATCTAATTTTGGACGTGTGTCAGCTTCCTGGGATTCCTTGGAGATCTCAGTCTCTTGCTTTACCCACCTAAATGGAAAATAGGAAAACAGACCTTTTTAAAAATAAAAATAAAAAAAGCCAAAAGCCTCCCCCCTCCTGCCAAACGGAGGGACCTATCTCACTGCTCCCAGTATGGCATGGCAAAAAACTCAGACACATCCTACTCCCCCAAACAAATGTCCAACACCACACCTGTAGCATCACGTAACCCAAGCTTTCCCCTTACAGATGTGATGCTAGCAGACCCTCAGTCTGTGGTGTGGCTGACAGCACACTTAGGTGTCCCTGATGGAGCCACAGCCAGGCTTCAAGACTATCCCAAAAAACCCTGTCCTAAATGAACATGCAGCGTTGCTCATTGCATTCCACGGGCCAGAGGACAAACAGCACCCCAGGAAGCACAACTCACTTGAAATGATCCTGCAAGGAGACATTGAAGTCAAACGCATCACCTCGATCCACGAAGCCAATGCCAATAAAAGCACTTCGTCCTAACAGGGAGACGGAAGGAGTTGTTGAAAATATCTTGCGTAGGTACTCCCATGTTCATTCACCCCCAAATCCTTCTGCTTCTCCTACATCTCTCTGTGCAACCTCCTTTGACAGCTCTGCAGCTGGACAACGTGGGCACAAAGCATCCCACTGTTCCTCATCTGTAGGATGCACCCTTCATGCCACGTAGCATTCTCCAAAACCAAATCCTCCTTCTTAGGCCCTGGGCTCTGAGCAACAGAGAGAACCCTCTTCTGCTAACCTCACCTTCCCACTCCTTCAGGGCCGCTCTCCAACCTTCCCAGCACTCACAACATCATCTCAATCCACCTGCACACACTGGGGTTCAGTAGGTTAACCTTCTTCCACCATCAGCACTTGGGCCGTGCAAGTCTCCTGGACTCACCAGTCCCATTCTGAATCCGAATGACAAAATAGCGGCTGGAATCTGTCACAGTCTCCACTGCAATGCCAGGGTATTGGTCTATAGGAGCCTGAGCAAAAAGTTCCCCTACGGACAAAGAATCAGGTGTTAATGAAAGCAACCTCTTTCCAACAGACATTTCAACATTTTTTTCTAAAGCTTTGCTGCTGCTGCCGTGCACTGCTTCCAGTTGACTTAAAAGCACAGGCTCATAAGCAGCAATCACATTTACAGTGTCGACCAGCCACAACCATTCTCTTACCTGAAACCTTATCCTCCAGTTTTATGTATGCAGTTTTGCCTTTGGAGGTCACACGAAGTCGCCCCGTCCAATCTGGATGGTCCAGTTTCCAGTCAGAAGCCCTGGAAAGAACAACTATTCACTGACAGTACCCTCAACATTTACATTCCTGCCCAAACAACTCAGCTAAAGTCTCTGCTCCCAAACCTTCATCACATACAGTTGCCTTACTCCACTTCTCTCTCCCTGTGAAGTGTGGGAGTCTGTTCCTCTCCAACGTAGGGACAGCTCCTCACTGAGGGTCTCAGCTCCTCTCTATAGCTACCAGCGTGCACGGGAGACTCAGAATGGCCTTTCTTTCCCTTGGGTAAAGGAAAATAGATACAGTCTAGAGAACATAAAATCCCTGTCTTTACCTTTACAAACTTGCAGATGAGGAGAGACTGATGCCCTAGAGCTCTGCTGGACCGGTTAGCTTAAGAGGAACTAGTAAGCAACTAGGGAACCTCAGGAAGACCTGAAACAATTATAGCATGCTGAAAAAGACTTCACTATTTTACTCCATTGTTTTAAAATGTATCATGTGTCTCTGAAACCAGAGGCAGTTGCTCACACTCAGTAAGATGCTGTACACACAGGCATACAAGTCACCTTATTTGGCCCATAAACTTCTTTGCTAGAAAAAGGTGTGTGTGTGTGGAGGGAGGGGTCAATCCTACAGGATTCTAAAGTGGGAACCAAACATTTGCATCCAAGAATAACATGGACAGCAGCAACACTTCAGCAAATACTACTGACACCATTGCTTTTTCAGAGCATAAACTAATCTCTCCAGGAAGTCCGTGGAAGCAGCTCACATGGGGACATTCCGCTGGTTTCAGCTAAAGACACGGAGGGCATTTCTAACTCCTGGCCCTGAAGCTTTTTGATTTTTAAGAGTCACAATCATCAACTCTGCTTCCACCCCAACATCACCAAGAGCCAGTGGGCCAAGTTCAACCTTTTATTACACCACATCATATCGGTGCCTCGAGGCGCAGAGCTACTATAATTGAGGGCAGAAGTTAGAGCTGATTGATAGAAAAAGTCCATTCACGCTCTGTGAGATTAACTCGTTAATACCCACAGCTCTGAAGCACAGGGGGATAGTCTTGGTTTTAGGCACAGAGCCCATACGAGATAGACTCATCAGAGACATCAGGCACGTCACCTGCGGCTGGATTCAGTGAAACTGCAGGTGCTTAAGTCCTCACAAGGCCTGCCTGATTGCTTAATGAGCAGGCACCAGGTACAAGTCTCTCCCTCCTAAACCTCTGTTGATTTGTACAGAAAGGGCCGAGTGGGCAACTCTGCAGGAGTGCCCGAGTCAGCACGCATAGCAGAGAGATAAAACATACGTCTACCGCTGGAAAAAGCGGCTACGACATGGCTCAGAGGATAGATCCGTGGAGTAAAGAAGAGGCCGTTTTTACAAATTCTCCCCTCCCTTGATGCAGGCTTCAAACCCGCCTCAGCGCG